CAGATCTGTCAGGAGAGATGATTGATCTTTCAATTTTCATAAGGAATGTGTGCCATTAGAGGCGAGGATTGGAATTATCCCGTAAAAGTTGCCTGCTTTAGATTTTTATAGACTTAAAGGACAAACACCTCTGTCTGTCTCCTCCATAATTCCTGCCACATGTTACACTCCGGCGGCTCGTGGGTAGGGAAGCAATTATGTTACCTCATCAAACCGCCGATGTTTTCTTATCAGGCTTTCTCGTACATTACACTGCATTCGGCATCTTGGCAGCAAAATCTTCGCCCACCTGAATCCCTGGAAGAGTATCTCTTTATCTTAGCGCTCCGGAACGCGCTTCGTCCGTTGATGTGAATTTGGCTTGGAATGTGTCCAATCATTGTTGCTCTCCGATTGTAAAGGATATTGTTTGCATGTGTTGTTTTTTTTTTTTTTTTTTTACATTTGGCTGGCTCCGCGTGTGTGTGTACATACCAATACATATCCATCGTCTGAGTGCGTTCGTTGCCATGTTTACCTCCCCTTGTTAGCGCGAGACGTATGCCTTTTAATGCGTCCCTTTGTGCGCGTACAAGAGCGTACAGCATGTATTTAACAAAGGCAAGATGTTTGCTTTATTATCAACATTAACTGCGTAAACATACAAAAAAGGGCTTCAAAGTTTCATTCAGTGACACTGAGGAGCTGTGGGTGGCTACATCAAAGCGCAATACCTTCCTCTTTCTCTCCCCCATTTTAATGAGAAACAGGACTCACCAGCCTTGACTGAACCTGCCATCTGTGTGTGTGTCTGTTTTTTTTTCTTCTTATTTGCGTGTGTGTGTGTGTGTGTGTGTGTGTGTGTGTGTGTGTGAGAGAGAGAACAGTTGTGTTCCCGTGCGTATGTAAGCATGCGCTTGCGTTGCGTTAAGTGGCACCACGATTGCCAGACAACATATTTATGGAGGCCGCGTCTCACGTTTGATCTAATGGCTGCAAGGCGTCCCTCCATCTCACGCGGCGGTGCTTCTGATTCTGCTTTTCGGAGGAGATTAATAGTTGTAGTAAAGGTGATTAGCGTTGCGTTGAGAGACCTCTCGACGTCTATGCCCGCGTGACAGGACGCTTTTTCACGAGCAGTTCATTTCCTTTTTTCCCCCAAGGATCGGTGTGCAAAAAGCCTCGATACGACCACAACAAAGACCCGATGTTCCGCGCGCCGCCGCCGCCTCACCTTTGTTGGAGGAATGCGCACGCGACATGGGGGCACTTTACAAGCGCAATTAGGGAGAAAAAGCCGAGATTGTTTTGCAGCAAAGCAGACCGCATATGCACTGTGCCAGTCAGTTGGTCCATTTAGCTGCTCGACCGGAATGGTCCTGTTCAGTTTGACAGATCAGAAGGGGGGAAGGAATATCCCGACACGACGGGAAAACCAAAGGCTTAGCGCCGAGCAAATCAGCCCTTTGTCTCGTTCAATTCAAATCAAAGGATAACCAGGAATGTTTGTTTGACAACAGCATTTACAATGCATTGTTCTGAAGCCCAGAGCCTCCCAAACAAAGACAGATAGGCTTTAAACAAGTCATTTAATTAGCAGCGGATCCCCGGCTTTGGCTGCGCCAACCAATTATACATTCCTGAGGCATGGGCAGGTCCTATTTCACGGGAGCGAGAGGCAGATCCTCTCCAGCCCTGTCTCCTACAGTACATCTCTCCCCTTCCATTTAAGAGAAGGTAAATAGCCCAGACAGACAGCTTCATTAGCCAGCGTCTGAAGAGCGCGGGGCCGATTGTCGCTTAAATAGTGCGCTTTTACTGCAGGGCCCAGCCGGCGACCTCCGATCAATTACAGCTGACATTATTGTTTGTCGGGAGCTTTTTTTCTTTTCTCCTGGACATAGGGAGTAAAAAACGACATCAGGCCTGAGCTTTGGCTGGAAATGTAATCTTCCCCCTCTCTTTGGTTCTTTCGCTCCACAAACAATAAATCATTCACTTGAAGAGATAATAAAGTGCCAAGTAGGAGCTAGTTTAATTTTTGTCAGGGGAAATCTGTCCACAACAGAGTTAAGGGTAAGGGGGCTGGCTGCTAGCTCCGTACCATTTTCAATGACAACGGCTTAGTTCCTTTTTTTATTATTTCTCCCTTATTTTCCTCCGCAGGGTTAGACGTCCAGAAAGGCTCGAGTCCTGTTTAGATGAAGATTAACTGCAGCACAAATCACTGCAGGTTATCATTTCTGTCATCGAAAATAAATGACTGCTCTCTTTTTTAATCATTTTAAAGCATTCAACATTCAATCTTTTTTTTTTTGCGGCGTGATGCTTTCCAGTGTCGGATCAGCAGCGCGCTTTGGTTGTGATGTAACAGCTCTTTTAATCGCGCCGTTACCGAGGGCTGTTTCTAATTCATTCAATTCATCCCGCGCGATTCAGATCTTTGCTCATCCACGCGTGAACTCCCGAGCACCGCACGACACAATAGCTGAGCTGTTTATATTGGTATTAAGTGATTTGTAGTTTTAATGATGGTAAATAGGAGCTCACCTTTAGCGGGTCCCTCAGGCTTACTTCAGGTAAATTACTCCAAATGCATTGTTTATGCCCTTCAGGAGGGGGGGGGGGGGGGGGGGGGGGGGGGGGGCCCGGGGGGGGGGGGGGGGGGGGCTTGTGGGAATTCACCTCTCATCAGGTCTGAACTTCTGTAGCGGAGATAAACACAAACTGACAAATAATGTTTCTCACGGTTTGCCCACTGGAATATCTACACATTATCCAGGTGATTAATGAGGCTGACTAATGTTTGTTGATTCTGTTTTTCACCAAGTTAAAGATCCTTCAGGCCTGAATAGAACACTAGAAAATTGGATGGATTGGCATATGAATGAAAGTGAAAAAAACACTTGACTGTCTTGCTTAAAAAATGCCAGAAACCCTTGAATAAACCAATATCCTCCTCACCTGGCTCCTTTCAGCGACCAACAAAGGGATTTGGCAGACCCTCATCGGCCCTGTGGCACATTCCCCCACAGTGGCCTGAATGGGCCTTTATGGGGAGGAACAGCGCTTTAGGACGGGGTGACATGAAAGGGGCCGGACAGCCGCTGAAAGCGAGACTAATGCCACTTAGAGCGAACAGAGGTCCAGTGTTCCTTCCCCCACCACCGGGCTGCGTCTCAGGTGGAGACACATCCCGTAAAGCCCGTACACCATCGACATGTGATTAACAGTAGTCGGAGTAGTCCGTTTGATTTGCTGAGAAATGTTGCCGCTTAAGTCTATGTGTCTTTCTGAGTGTAGCTGTATCTGATTGAAGGGGTGTAATGCATCCACCACAAAGGCAGAATAAGGCTCTTCACTCCGGCCCTTGAGTGGCCTTGAAAGGCTGATAGGTAGCCTAAAGCTCCCCATGTTGTCCTACAGTAAGTACCCCCGCAATCAGGCCCCTCTGTGGTGTTTTTTAATTGAGCTTAGCCTGCTGAGCGGTAATTGATTCAGCCTGAGCGACAGCGGAGGCGCTGGTACAAGGTGCTGCTTGGCTCCCGCCTCCCTTTAATCTCCACTGCTTTATATTGTTTGGGAATACTCGCCACAGAGGAACTGCATGCCATCTTTCTTATGGAAATCAATGCTGCCTTTAGAAGGGGGGGGGGGAGAGAGGAGTACTTCTCATGTCCTTTCATTTTCAACCAGTGTCCTTCTCTTTGGAGGCGTCGCCATGCAGATCTCCTTGCCCTTTGGCTACTGATGTTTTGTCAGAAGAGAGGAGCGGAGTTGTTTTGTGGATCGGCTCTCTGTAGCGCACTATCTTTCTCTTCTTTTTTTTTTATCCTCTTTCTTTCACACAGCCTTTATTTATTATTTTTTTACCTTGAACCGGGCTGCCAAGAAAGAGAAGAATAAAGGAGAGAAAAATCAACAGAGGCTCAATCAGATCCAATAGTGTCTATGAGGTTTTTTTCCTTTAAAGCATTTGAGGAAAAGCATCTGAGTGGCGGAGGAATGAGACCAAACTGTTCCCAGTCACTTTTGATCCTGCCAGTTCAAGGGGGGGGGGGGGCTGTGTGTGTGTGTGTGTGTGTACAGACACCTAGCTCTGACCTTCTGTCTGTGCTTGTGTCCTTTGAAAGTTGGCTTGTTTTCATTAAGCCATTCAGAAGCACAGCACAGGGCCACAGTCATAGTGACCACCCCCCCCCCCATGGTATCTTTATAAGACATTCTTTACATTTTCGGACCGCTAATGTCTTCAATTTTCCCAATTAGGAGTCCATTGCCAGACAGCAATTGAATAATTTAAAACATTTGTAAGACATCTGATGTTGTAATGGAATAATTTGTGTGAGTGTTTAAAAAGAAGAAAAGAAATGAAAATCCCATTATTGTGCGAGCTGAAAGTGTCTTGACTCTCGTTGGTCTCTGTGCTGTGGAATATAATTAGCCTAAAGTCATTGCCATACTGCGGTCTGACGCTACTTGTTTGTCATTAGCACATTTAACTAGTCATTTGGGTAATGGCTTTGGAGATTGCCTTTGTTTTTACAGAGATATTTTTGTATATGTAAATATTGAGACAATTTCCATAATGTGCCCTTTTTTATTTTCTTTATTCATCGCAGCATAATTGATGCATCTTTATTGCTGTGTAAACTTTGGTCTTTGAACGAATGTGTGTATATAGTTATCATCCCCGTTTTCTTTATTATCATTGCAGTAGTATCTATTATTAACATATGTTGTAAAACATTTATGTGTATTATGTTAACATGGAACGAAGCGATTCATTTGAATTATTCCATTTTTTTCCTCCCGCTTATGGATGGCAGTGTAAAGCTTTAGTGTTATTGGACGGCGATGTTAAAGGGGATATCAGTGGTGGGAATTACTGATTGCTGAATTAAAACCGCAGCAGGTTTTTTGGGGAGTTTTCAGCCAAATCCTCCGAAGTTTCCCCCGTGGACATCTCACTCATAACACGCATCGTTGAGTAACCAACAGACCATCTTCTTGCGTTTCAGGCCTGGAACTCCCCTTCATGATGATGCCACACCCCCTGATCCCAGTCAGCCTGCCCCCGGCCTCCGTCACCATGGCGATGAGCCAGATGAACCACCTCAACACCATCGCCAACATGGCGGCTGCAGCACAGGGCCAGAGTCTGCCCTCCAGAATGGTCACCTCTGTTATAAAGGTACATTTTTAACCACGGTTTAGACGCTCCAATGTAACGTCCTGTGGCGTAATGCGTTTATCTGTGGGCTACTTTGGATGTTCATTTTTGGGTTGTGTGTTTCTGGCGCTGCTGGGGTTTCAGGAACGGGTGCCGGACAGTCCCTCCCCCGCTCCCTCCTTAGAAGACCACAGGAGGCCGGGCAGTCACCCGTCGTCCCACCGCAGCAGCAGCGTGTCCAGCTCGCCAGCCCACACGGAAAGCTCCTCAGACAGGATACGTACGTTTGTCACACAGATAAATGGTGAAGAAAAAAAGCGACCGCGCCGCGCAGATTGTTTGTTCGTGTCCAATCTACGCAAGACGGAGTAGAGACGCGCTCTCTGTGATGTTCCTAATGCCCCCTGTGTTTCTGTCATTCCCTCTCCAGCGATGCACCACAACGGCCTGTCCATGAACCACGCCCTGCTAGGGCTGTCCCCCAACATGCCGCCCGGGCCTAAGGAGGGAGACCTGGCCCACGACATGAGCCACGAAATGAAGAGGATGCACTCCGACAAAGGTGAGTCAGGTCCTGTCTTCAAGGCAAACGATGCACCGTATGCTGTGAAGTCTTTGCTCCAGAAATGAGCTGTGATTTGTGTTGTTTCTGCTCACAATGTACGTTTGTAAGTGAAGGACTTCATTAACTTTTAGTTCCTTCTATTCAATGTGCACAATGTATGAAAATAACAGCTGCTATGAGAAACAAGCAGCTGAATACTGTGCTCTACTGGACCGGCTTTATTCTAGTTGCATATAAAATACGTTGTAATGTGAACGGTTTATGGAGAGCAGAGTTTTGCAGATGTGCACAGAAATGTGTAACAGTGGAGACTACATGTGGATGACTTGTTGGTCAGGGTGCCTTCAAGTGACATCAATTGGAGTGGAAGATATCAACAATGTTATCATTTACTTTACAAGACACTAGAAAACCATCTGCATTCCTCGTGTACCCAACACTTGAAATTTCAGTTTTTTTAAGATTATTTATCTAATTTGTTTAACAATTGTTAAGTCTTTGTCAGGATTTGCAGTCAGCCTCTGTTCCTGTTGATCCCAGCTGTAGATTGTGTCAGTTTAATGATACTCCAGAACGACTCTATTAGTTTCACATGTATTTGTTACAGACTACAAACCAGAGATGCACTTAAGAAGAGGTAACCTGTGGTGTAAATATGTGTTTAATTGTTTGGATGAAACGCCGCACACGTTGTGCTTATTGGAGCAATCTCTGTGTTTTGGAACCCCACAGAAACACAACAGTGTTTACCTGCTGTAGGTTACGCATTTACAACACGTGTCAGCCTTTTACACTACACAGGATATGATCACAGTAACAATCTGTAGACCAAGTGCATTGTTTTTTTAGCAATTTTCTGCAAACAATGCTTTTTTATCTTCTAATCACTTTCAACTAATTTACCCCCCTATTTCACGCCTCCATGCACCCCTGACCTCTGCTGTAATAGGACGCTGTTCACTGCAGTTACAGTAAACAGCTAAGAACACTATTCTGTTAACAGAAAGTTAAAAGACAAATTGGGGGAAAAAATGAAAAAGAGCTGCTGTAGGTTCTTTAAAACAAATACACAAACATTAAGAGTGTGGCTGCTGAATGTTCTCAGAATTAGATTTTCATACAGATTTTGCATTTTGTATTAGTTTTGGTTGATATTTTCACATAAATGTGGGAAAGAAGGAGCCGTTTACACAGAGCAGCAGGCTTGATGACATCATTATTAACTCTGAACTCAGAGGGAAACATTGAAAACACTGAACCTCAGTCCCATTGTCCGGAGTAAATGTTTGTGTTAGTAATTACTGCCATTATTTCATTACAATTTTGACGTGCTTGTGAAAAAGAAAAGAAGAGAAAAAAAAAAAGATAAAGATCTACTAAGCGTGGCGGATTAAATACAAAGTGAAGCAAATAATAGATTTCAGTATTCTCTGTTGGCTTTGAGCAGAGCAGGGCGGGCTGTGCTGTGCTGGGTGATGCAGGGTGGGGCGAGGCTGATAATGATATTAAAACCACTGTGGAAATCAGTGGGCTGTATGTTCCCTGTTGGCCAGGCCGACATGAAGATCAGTGTTAGACCTTCACTCACAGGGTGTGAAGCAGTGAATAGTAATAATTAGCAGGATCAGGAGAGGAATTTATGGTCACAAACTGTCTAACTGTCTGTGCCTGAATGTGAGTGTGTGTGTGTAAGTGTGTGTGCGTGTGAGACAAGAAGAGAGTCAGGCAAACAGAGAAAGGAGGAGATTTAACCAAGAATCCACACACTAAATCAACCGGATGATTTTCCCCAGTAGCAGAAATCCTACTTCTCAGCCTGAGTGCCTCGTATACACGCGTATACGTATATATATACATAATGCACACAAACGGTCTGTAATTCCTTCGCAATATTAGAGGAGAAAGCAAATGACCCGGCAATCCACACCAGTTCTACCCAGTTGACCCGCACGCATCCACAAACACGCGCCGCGTCCTCTTCCAGATTGTCAATTCCTAATATGTCACCGGACTTGATTAGGATTCTGAGCTCTCTCCAGTGTGCGCACCAGAGGTCTCGGGCTGTGGAAAACATTTTTATAAAATAACCCATTAATGCAGAGGAGTGCAACTAAATTAGTTACCAATTTGCTGAGCATGAATTAATGAAGAGAGCTTCTCCCGGCTCCCACAGTTGTAATTTTCATAATAACCCCAGACCTTTATTTGGCAGGTTGTTTAGTTTTTTCGTTTGAAGGTTTTCATTAGTCTAATGAGGACTGTGCAAGGGCGAGCAGTCAGCACAATTTACATGAGGAAGCTATCATAATAAATGAGGCAATTTGAATAACATGCACAGGTTTATGCAGCGAGATAAGAGAGATTGTAGCAGCCAGATCCAGAGGTAACCAATACATTAGAACCAACTAATAACCAAAGTAATTCCAATAAAAGCTTTAAGTGAAGGGAATAAAATTAATGATAGATATATTGAACTGTAATGATATGATACATGATGCATTAGATTAATAAAATAAATGCGTTTCCATTGTTAGAGCTGGGGGGGGGGGGGGGGTGAGGCCTCGCCATCCTTTGTTTATGGCGAGCTCTTTTAATTAGGCTTGTTCGTCGCGTCGGTTTGTTTAGATAAATGAGATAACATTCCAATGGTTTAATGATATCTCTCCACTTGTTTGATCTTTATGATCCTGGCAGAGCATTAAATTAATCTCTCTCGCGACGCACTCTCAGAAACAGGGAGCACAGTGGAGCGCGGAGGGAGGATGCGCCGGCCGAAGCTCTGCAAGTAGCCAGACACCTCAGAGACGGACACTAGAGCGGCACATCACTCGCATCCTGTGAACGCGCCGCGTCTTTTTCATGTCATCTCTGCCGATGAAGGACAAAGGCTGTTTTTTTGTTGTCGTCTAAAAAAGAGCCATTTCCAAAGTTGTGTCACCCGGTGCAGAGTAACCAGATGGTTTTTCTTTTCCTCTTCAGGGAGCTTGTTTGTTTGAACTTGATTGTTTTTCGTCCAAGTTTTAAGTTAAAAAGCGGAGATTAGACGACGTGTGAGGAGGGAGAACTAAGTGTTATCTCACATGTGACTAATTGAATTGCTTCAAACAGAAAGTCTGTGGCGATAGCTTCCGACAAGCCTCTGTCCCGTGAAAAACAGCAGGTAGCTGACAAACAGGGGAGGGGGGATTTGAAAGGTACGGAAGCCTTTGGCTGTAAACTCACTTTGGACATCAAACAGTTGACATCATTTTATTTCCCTTGAGGGAGGAGAGAGAAGATGTTTGAAACACGGGCCATATGTATGTACGTCCACGATTCTGCAGATACCATGTGGCAGTTTGAGCATTTTGCCAACAAACAAATTTCACCACTCTACGGCAGCCCTCCCGCTGCAGTTAAACATGCCACATCTCTTCTTATTTTTTACCCGAGAGTAGGCGGGTAAAATGATTCTGTAAACCATATTTTAAAAGCGGAGGTGATTCACTCGGTAACACGATATCGGCTCTTCCCCCGGCTGAACGTCGTACACTCTTGTTGACACAACAGGAGATGCTCTCTAATGTCCTCCCGAGTACCTAGAGGTGCATCTTTTTCCCCCTGCCTGCTATCAACCGAGCAATCGTTGGTGTGACCACGACGGACAAAGATTGGCCACGCCTTCTCTTTGTCAGGATGCTGCCCACAGTAGGTGCCCGGTGGCTGCTGGTGCACTGTGCCCAGGTTCACAGTTAGAGTGATGGAGGTTGTCACAGTCTATTACATGCAGCTGCTTTGGGCAAGGACCTGTGGACACTGATGGGCTCATGTAGAGAGGGGGGATGTCTTTAGAAAAAAAGATGAAAAGGGCAAAAAAGAAAAAAGAAGTGATTTCAGTCCTTTGTAGTCTTTGTTCTGCGTTCGCAATGTTAAAAAAAGAAAGTTCGGGGACTTTGGGTCCGGTAAAAGTTTAGGCATCAGTCGCAGCGTAAATATTTCACCGACGTCGGCGGTATCCCCGCAACAGTATCGTTAAGAAAAGTTCGATACGTTCGAGCTCCTACTCTCTTCATCTTTCTGACTTTAATGCATAGTGTTTTGCTCCCCCCCCCCCCCCGGTGTCCTTGGCGTTTGCAGGCTTCAAACACATGCTGACTACCTGACTTTTCCCTAAGTCGGGAGGCAAGATCATTAGCCATCACAACCCTGAAATGTGACTTGGCAGACAATAATGCTTTATGATCAAACAACTTGTCAGTGCGTCCCGTTGAAATGAAAGAGTGCAAAAAAATAATACAATAGAGGATCAATCAAATTTCCACCGGCCCCCTGTGCATGAGAGAGAGAGAGAGAGAGAGAGAGAGAGAGAGAGAGAGAGATTGCTGATGGTGCAGAGAGGGGGCTATTCCTCGAGGACACGGGAGTTCATTTGGATATTTGTTCTCCTGCTCATGAATGTTCCATTGCGTGACACCATCCCCTGCTAATCACATTTCACTGAAAAGGTGGTGGTGGTGGGGGGCGGGGGGATGCTTTTAGGGACGTTGAAAAGAGAGAGGTTCTTTTTAATCTTTGAAATGCCTCAAAAGTGACAGAATGCTCTCTCCTGCCAAGACGCGAGCCTCGGATGGGGAGATAAATATGCTGTGGTCAGCTAAGTGTATCTAGTGAGCAGAGAGGCAAATTTAATAATGCATTATCATTCACTGGCGAAGGTGAAATCTCCCTGTCCATCAGGAGGCTGAGGCCTGTTTCATGTTACCCTTCGCTGCAAATGAACAAGTGCTTTACTCAGCCATACTAGAGATGCACAGTAGGCACTGGTGCTCCACTATATATAGAGAGAGATGCGTGTGGGCCGTCAGGAGGGGCAGGTCCGCAATCAAAGCAATCATCTCTCACGGTCTGACTGGAGACATTAATGATCATGGCCCTCAGTCCTGATAACACCTGTTTTGAACAATAACCTTCTTTTCTTTTTGTTGTTGTTCTTCTTTTTCTTCTTCGTCTCTGAGAAA